CATCTACTTGGGAGGCAGAGGCAGGAGACTCGCTTGAGCCCAGGAGTTGGAGGTTACTGTGAGCTGTGATGCCACAGCACTCTACCCAGGGGAACAACTTGAGGCTCTGTCTCAAAAATAAAATAAAATAAAATAAAATTCCATATACCTATTCTACTGGTTTCTGCATTATATCCTAAGATACAAACTAATATAGTAGAGTGAGGAAAAAATGAAAAACTATTATTATCAGTACTTTGAAACTTAAGTATCTCCCTTAATACTGAAAAATAACTAAGGAAAGGGAAAGACTAATTCAGAGTCTACTAGTCATGTAATTCATATGTAAATGTACTGATATTTGAATATAATCTCTCTTTGGTAGGTCCAAGTTTTCAGTGGTTACAACTTCACATTTAAAATATATTTAGCAGTCTGGGGTGGTGGCGCATGCATGTGATCCTAATACTCTGGGAGGCCAAGGTAGTAAGATAGCTTGAGCTCAGGAATTCAAGACCAGCCTGAGCAAGAGCAAGACCCTGTCTCTTCTAAAAATAGAAAACTTAGCCAGATGTTGTGGCAGGCATCTGTGATCCCAGCTACTTGGGAGGCTGAGGTAGTGGGATTGCTTGAACCCAGGAGCTTGAGGTTGCTGTAAGCGAGGCTGATGCATGGCACTCTAACCTGGGCAACAGAGAGAGACACTGTCTCAAAATAAATAAATAAAATGTCTTTAGTAGAAATGACAATAAACTCCTATTTTCCTGCATCCAATTGTATTAGCCATTTAGTACATTCTGGGTGATTGTAAAATATCTTATAATTGTGCTATTTCTTAAGAGTTTTGAAGTAGTATTGATCATGAAACTTTTTGAAATTTACCATTAGGCCAATGGTGGCAGAGTCTACATAGAAAACTATGCTTCGTGGTGTTCTGGGAAAAACCTTTCGACTTGTTGGCTATACTATTCAGTACGGGTGTATAGCTCATTGTGCTTTTGAATACGTTGGTGGTATTGTTATGGTAAGTTTTTATGTTCAAGAATATTTATTTTAAATATATACTGTTTTAAAAATATTTTTGCTTTACTATAATTAAAGTTATTAATTTAATGAATAAAATATGAAAGGTAAAACATAAAATCTATCTAAATACTAGGATATAAAAGTGTTTTGGTTGGCACTAGAATAAAGTATAAGAACCACTACTTTAAGTATAATCTGCATTTTTCTAACAGAGGCACAAAAGGTCCTCTATAGTCTAATAATAATAGATGTTATTGTTTACTGAATGCTCTTTGCTGTGTTCCAGAATATATTTGGTGTTTTATCTTTTACACTTCTGTAAAATACTTATTAGAGATTCATTTTACAGATGAACAGACTCAGAAAGCTCAAGGTGCCACAGTTAGTAAGAAGCAGACTTGAAATTTCAACAGAGATTTGTCCAATTTTCAACACTCTTATAACTACTGTGTGTTTAACTGTCATTAGAGCAAATGCTTACTCTGCTTAATGTTAATATTAAAATGTTAAAGCTGCCCCCAAACCACAATCAGTGTTTTTTCTTAATATTGCATCATGAATCTATCAACCTTAGCTTTTCAAACCTTTTGTCATGTAAATGAATAATAAATTGATTGACTGGCCAGTCAATGGGTTTTTTGTTGTTGTTATTACTATTTTTGTTCTTAGGTTTATACTAACAGATTGACAGTTATACAACCTGAAGTTGAGGTACAGTAAATAAATATATTTAACTGAAATTCCCCTCTTTGATTTTTGAAAGTTACATTGGTACTTCCAGAGATGGAAAATAAACTTTCATTGTATTCTTTGTTATTTCTGCCTGAGTAAGAAGTTTTGAGTACAAAGTTTTATTTACAATGAGTAGAGAAAATGAAGTCTGTTGTAGTTATATTTTTTAAGTGGCAGTGTTTGTTTATTCCAGTGTTGAGGTACAGGGTGAGTATCCCTTATCCAAAATGCTGGTAACCAAAAGTGTTTCCAATTTCAGATTATTTTTTTTCACATTTTGGAATATTTGTAGATATAATGAGAGATTTTGGAGATGTGACCCATGTCTAAATATGAAGTTTATTTAAGGCTCACACATATCTTATCCACAAAGCCTGAAGGGAATTTTATATGATATTTTGATAATTTTGTTCATGAAATAAAATTATTACTGCACTGACCGCACATGAGGTCAGGTATGGAATTTTCTACTTGTGGCATTGTATCAGCACTCAAAAGTTTCAGAAAATGGAGCATTTTGGATTTCAGATTTTTGGATTAGGCATGCTCAACTTGTATTTAGCAAGATTATTGTTTTAAGACATACAAATATGAAAGTCTTTATAGTCCTTCTTAGTATGTTAGTATTATTCAGTAGAAAATATAAGTTGCAGCCCCAACAATTGAGTAAGCTATTCTCTTGGAAGAGGAAGAAGGGCATCAACTCATCCAGAGGACTATAATACCACTTAATAAATTATCATCATTTTCACTGATGATGCTTAGTGATAATAAGAAAATGAATCATTCATTCATCAACAAACATGGATCTGTTCCTGTTTTATGCCAAATACTGTCTTGGCCTTGTTTAAAAAGCTGGGAACATGATAGACAAGGTCCCAGCCCTCATAGAGCTTGCATTCTGCAGAGTGGAGGAAATTTGGAAACACAGATAATGTTACTTTATCTATGTATTATAATGTAATATCAGTAAACGATTTATAATAATATGTATGTTTCCAGACTTGGCAGCTGCTCTAGAGTTAAACTTATCTGAGAACTGCTAAATTATTATCAACCATCACCCAAGCTTGAAGAACATTTGCTTCATTTTTTTTTTCCTTTTAAACCTGTTCACATGATTTTTGTTAAATTTAAGGAGTTTTGAACTCAAATTATAAAATTACCTCTCTTTTCAGTGTTCTGGACCATCAATGGAGCCTACAATTAAAAATTCAGACATTGTCTTTGCAGAAAATCTTAGTCGACATTTCTGTAGTATACAAAGGTAAATTTCTGTCATGAATGTATTAAATTTATAGTGAAGACACGTGCACATATTGTATCTTTTCTGTAGTTGCTTAATTTTATATTTAAAAACACTTGTAATTAATCAAATTAATGAACATCTAGATAAAATTTTGAGTCATATATTTTCTCTCTGTTTTAGAAATTTTAACAGTTTCTCTAAGCATGTGCAGTCTCAGGGTTCATTGTATTTCTTGAATAATTGTCAAAAATGGTTATCAGTCCCTTTTGTACATGTAAGCCTACTTTACTTTTTTTATTAGATCCTAGCATGTTTTTGGTTAAGAGTTAGGAAGTTAGGGACTATATTACATATGCCAAATCATATGTTCTTAATTTTGGTTCTTAATTTTTTTAATAATCCTATCATTCTATTGATGGCTATTTACTTATTCTTTCTATATCTTATGATGACTTGCATTGTATGTAGCTGAGAATTTTCTCTAACATGATTTTCCTTATTAAATATTGCCATTAAACCTTTTAAAATCCCGTGCAAAATTGTGGTTCCAATCTTTGTGAAACTCTTTATTCTAATTAGCTCCAGGTAAACACACCTCTTTCACTGTTGACTTTGCTATAGCATGTTTCACATTATTAGAACATCAAGAATAGTATAAAACTGTTCTTCACATTTACTTATCTCTCTAGCATGTTCCCTACGAAGTAATTCTTAGATCTTTTACCTATATTAACATCAAGATAATCTAACTGTAGTTATTGATATTATGAAATAAAATTTACATAATAGATTATATCCTAGCTCCTTTTTAACTTATATCAAATTAAGCTACTATAGCCTCTGCATTAACTAGAGTCTTATCTTCACTACAGCATGAAGACAAGCTTCTGTATTCCATGCCTGTGACATATTTTGTTCTTAGAGTTCTTGGGCAGCCTTAACATGAAGCTGAATTTGTTTGCTGAACAGTTTTTGATTTAACACCTCAATGTTTTCCTTTTAAAAAATATTCTTTGCATTCAGATATGTAATACGAAAATATCATATCATAAATTAAGATTCTTTAAAGGTTTCATTTTATACTCTATTCATCTAAGTTGCAGGATAGCTTAAAATCTGGCATCTGTATGAGATATACCAAAGTAACTTTTTGAGCCAAGGGAGCCAGTTGGTAATTTTTACTTTAAAAATATTACTGTGCTTTAAGAATATTCTCTATTATCTGCAGCACAGAACTCAGATTTCAGGGGAATCTCTGACCCCCATTTGCTGGCTGCTTGTTTCTGAATAGATGAATAAAAATCTGGATATCTGCTAAAACCTGTGTATCTGTCTTTAGTCAACCTCACAGAACACTCATACTTTAGACAATCTTATTTTCAGTTCTACTTACTCTTTCAACAAATAGTATCTAATTTGTAGATACACTGTATGTTATAGAGAATGTTATAAGATTAATGAGATGTTGACACTTTTCAGAGGCTTACTGACTAGTAGAATAATAAGGATATTTATGACTATAAAGGAGAAAGGAAATTTGTTTTACAGTAAACTGTTTTTTAAGTTAATATAGGAACCTGAAGAATACAAGAAGCAAAAAACAAAGTCATCTACTCACAGGCAGTTTATAGTTTGACAAGTCCTTCTAGATCTGAGGGTACATAAACAACATCCAACTTTATGGGATTGAGATCATATAGTTGTACATGCTTTTCCACACATCATGAATATTTATTAATCTAAAATTCCAAAGCTGTATTGGTTTTGGTAACCAAGAATATATTACACTTATTCAGTCTGTTATGAAAAAATGTAATCCTGCCTTTCTGAAAATTGCATAGAAGACAAAAATGGCAGCAGGCCTCTAGATAAAAATATTGGCAGGGTTCTGATTAAAATACTGCATTCCCTTAATGCTCAATTTAAAATGGAGCATAAAGCAACAGGGTACACTAAGTTTGTATTTCTAAGATAATTATCAGATCTGTACCATTAAAATACTAGCAAGAAGTTATTTTCCACTGAATTATTTAATATATATTCTTATAGTATAGACAAAGGGGATGCACATATATCATGGCTATCATCAAAATGTAAATATGAACACAACTGCATGTATTTCTCTGAGAAAGGAAAATTTTAACAGTTCCTTTTAGAACTCTATTTGAAAGAATTTTGAGTTCAGGGGATATGTATTTTGGTTTAAGTTTTATGCATATATCTAGTTAGACTACCAGGTATATAGTCTACATCAGTATTGCTTGACTGAATTATGATTTCTATGTTGCCATTCATGCACAGAATTTGTTTTAAGGGACCTGTTGATTATTGATTCAAAACCTGAACTGGATGATGCCATAGCACTCTACTCAGGGCAACAGCAGGAAACTGTCTCAAAAACAAACAAAAAAACAACTAACTTGAACCGCATGAAACACCCATGGGAAAATGTTTCTTTTAAAGCTGCCCCAAATCAGCTTTGATAGTGGGTTATAGTCTTTGCAAACTTACTCATTTAAACACCTCCATTGGCATGGTTCTAGTTGATTAGTAATCATTTATCTATTGCCTTCAAATTATAGAATTTATTTATTTATTGTTTTTTTGAGACAGAATCTCACTTTGTCACCCTTGGTAGAGTGCCATGGCGTCAGACCTCACAGCAACCTCAAACTCTTGGGCTCAAGTAATCCTCTTGCCTCAGCCAGACAGGGTCTCACTCTTGCTCAGGCTGGGTCTCAAACTCCGAGCTCAGGTGATCCACTGGCCTCATCCTTCCAGAGTCCTAGGATTATAGGTGCACTGCACCCGGCCTGTAGAATTTATTGATTTCATACCTTGACTCAAGAAATGATCATTGTTAAAACAGAAACTCAAAGTACTGTAAAAAATAAATAAATAAATAATGATCATTGTGAATACTACTTCTGCATTTTCTATAACATTTCTGACAAAGAAGATGTCTTTTATTCTCTTACAATAAGAATCCATTTTATCAAAATTCTTCTTTGATTAATTATTAGGGATAATTTTGTCTTACCTCCCAAACTAAACTTTATTTTATGAATTAATGATTGCCATATAACTACTCTAATTTTTTTAACTTGATTACTAAAAAATTCATAATTCAATTTAATGTTTGCGGATAGCCACCATAAGGTTTCTGACTTAACTGTCATTTTCCTTTTGTTTTTATAGCTTTTGATATTATTTTTAAGTATGTATATGCATCCTTCATTATAAATAACATTAAATTATTTTTGGAACTAGGTGCAACTACAAAGTAAATATAATAAATCCTTTTAAATACATGTGTTAGCTAACAGAATTCACAAATTGCTTCTTTTATGTGGAAAGAACACTTTGTTCTGTTTGGCTGAGGTCATTAGTCCTCCATTCTTTGTCTTTTTTTTCTACTTCTTAAGATCTTTCATATATATTTTTTAAAATCACTATATAGATTGTCACTTCTTCCATGAATCTCGCCTTCCATGTGTAATCAGGTCCATATTGGTTTTCTGTGTTTGATACCTCATTTTTAGAGTATATGTTTGGGTAGATTTTAGCATTTTTATGTGGTGTCTTTTAATTTTCTTCTCAAAAACAGTATAAGTCCTTTAAACTATATGGGTTATATAACTTATATTCTATCATTTCCTCAAGTCTTTGCACTCTAGGGAACATAGATGATTTTTTTCTACCTTTTTAATGTACTCTATAGTTAATGAGTGCCACTGGCTAGGAAGCAAAATTTATTTGGTAGTATTTATATGGAATTATCTTGCCATGGTTTTGGTTATAAGAATTTTGACAGAAAAGTAACACATAGTGGATACTGTACAAAAAGATACCTTTTTCATCACTTCTGTTGTTGGATTCTAACCCATAAAAGTCAGTCACAAGCTGTAATCTTAGGTCTTTGGGAGGCCAAGGTGGGTGGTTACTTGAGCTGAAGAGTTTGAGACCAGCCTAAGCAAGAGCAACATAGTCACTAATAAAAATAGAGGAAAAAAAGATAGTTTGGCATTGTGGCCAGTGCCTATAGTCCCAGCTACTGTGGAGGGTGAGACAAGAGCATTGCTTGAGCTCAGAGGACTGAGATTGCTATGAAGTATGATACCATGGCACGCTACCCAGAGCAAGAGTGAGACTCTGTCTCAAAAAAGTCTCAATTCTCAAAGCTAGTAAATATATGTGACAGTCAGTATATTAGAGGATAAAGGGTGTGCTTTGTTTCAGTTGCCTTATAAAAGAAAGCAGTGACATACATGTGTTTATGGTCAATTAATAATACTGAACTTTGGCTTTTCTTTGACTTTTTCCCCTCAGAGGTGACATTGTGATTGCAAAAAACCCAAGTGATCCAAAATCAAATATTTGTAAAAGAGTAATTGGTTTGGAAGGAGACAAAATCCTCACTACTAGTTCATCAGATTTCTTTAAAAGCCATAGTTATGTAAGTAACATTTCAATTATGTTATTCATTGGTATCATAGTTGATTAACATTAACTGAATACATTGTGAGAAAAAAACAACTTTTATTAGCATTTTGAATGTAAGAAAAAGTATGACTACCATTTTGGCCATGATATTTCATTTACTTTAGTTCCTTTTAAAACTCCATGTAAACATCTCAGTAATCATTATTTCAGGCCTGATTCATGAGTGGAAGCTAAAATTATTGGACAAAGCTTGAGGAGAAATAGGATATTTGCATACTCTCAAAATACCTCTTTTAGGATATTTATCACAAAGGAAGAACCTTAGGGGAGGACCTATCATGTATCACCTTTACTGAGTGATCAAGGTTGACTTCATCAATAATAAGACATATTAACATCATATAGCCCTTGAATTGAAGCACCAAAAAGAAAGCATCACTTTTGTTATTCTTGCAAAAAATAACAATAAAGAAATACATAAAATAAAACCTCAGTTTAATCATGGAAAAACATAAGACAAACCCAAATTGAAATTCATTCTACAATATAACTGGCCATTGCTCTTGAAAAATATCAAGGACATGAAAAACATGTAAAATCTGAGAAACTGTCATAGATTAGAGGAGACAAAGGAGACATGGTAACTGTATGCAGTCTGGCTTAGAAAGGTTTTCTGGATTAGGAAATTTTTCTAGTAGTGGAAAAATCTGGCAAAATCAAATCAAGTCCACAGTTTAGTTTTTTAAACCCTATTAAAATTTTTAGTATAGAAATTGTATATTGTCAGATTGCCTATAGAAAAATAATGCAAAAGGAGCAGAATGGAAGAGTGAAGAGCAGATGTCATGTGATAGCTCCTTTTACCAGTCACATGGTTGCCATGACAGAGCTTATAGGGGAAGGAGTGGCCTTTTGTTTACTCAGCATATACTTAATTATAGCTTAATTTTCTACTTCAAAATTTCTATGTCACTATCTATGTCTTATTATTAAGACAGCTATTATATCTGTTAAGTAACTTTACCTCTGTATCCATACCCAATGTAAATACATAATTGAAGAGGTAAATTGTCTTTGTTATTATGAATTTATTTTGAACTAAAGCCTCTGATTACCTTGTAAGTTTGATCAATAGCCTGTTAAGAGTGGGTATGCCTGTAATCCCAGCAGTATGAGAGGCTGAGACAGGAGGATTGCTTGAGGCCCGGAGTTTGAGAATAGCCTGGGCAGCACAGCAAAACCACATCTCTACCAAAAATTAGCTAGGCATGGTAGTACCACCTACTTAGGAGACTGAGGCAGGAGGATTGTTTGAGCCCAGCAGTTTGAGGTTGCAGTGAGCTAAGGAGATACCACTGTACTCTAGCCTGGGTGAGAGAGCAGGCTATATCTCAGAAAAAATATATTAAATGTTTATTATTTATTTGCCATCCATTATAGACTGTGGTTTAGCCATGCAAATGTTTTGATGTTTATTATTATAGTGCTAAACACATAGTAATGTTAGCTGTAGTGGTGGTGCTGATATTAAGGATGATGTAGTCTGGCATCAGGTGTTTCTGCAGTGGTCTTCATCACGACAACTGTATTCTTCTTAAAAAAATTCTAACCTATGTTTCTGCAGTGGTCTTTGTCATGACAACTGTATTCTTTTCTTCTTAAAAAAATTTTAGATTTTGTCATATGGTTTCATCTTCATATAACCATTATCGTGTCATGAGATATTCTAGTCACTTCTAAACTACTTTAGCAACAGGTATGGAGATCTGCATTGTTTCAACAGACAGAACAGAACAAATAAATAACATCCTCTTTCTACCCCAACACCATCATCGTTGTTGTTGTTTTCATAAAGAGTTACTGGAAGAGGAATATCAAGACAAAAGGGTTTAGATAAAGCCTCTGCTGAATAATCAGAGAAGATAAACAGAGGACTGTGAGATGTAAATTTTTTTGATATTCTGTTTAAAGAAAATATTAAGGATTTTTTTTAAATGGGCACAAAGTTGTACATATTTATGGGGTCTAGTATGATATTTTGATACAGATATGCCTTGTATAGCAATCAGTATTCAGCATATTTATCAGCTCATATATTTATCATTTGTTTGTGGTGAGAACATCCAAAATATTCTCTTCTAGCTATTTTGAAATATATAGTACAATATTGTTAACTATAGTCACTCTACTGTGCAGTAGAACACTGGAATTTTTTCCTTCTATCCTTGAGTTTTTATACGTTTGATGAATGGGCAAATTAGAGGACCATTTTGTTCCAGGTATGTTCCATTCACTTTGGTTTGGCATATTTATGAATGTACAATACATAATTGCAGTACTCTTGGCCAATAATTATATATTTACTCTGTACTTATGAAATTCTTTACAGGGTTACTTTACTTATTATAACAGCAACCCAATAAAATAGGTAATTAGTAGTATTTGGTAAGAAAATTAAACAACAGGGTGGCTAAATAAATTGCCCAACTTCAAACCAAGAGGAAGAGTTGAGATTCAAACACAAGTGGCCTGGCTTCAGAATCTGTACTCACTGTGCCACTTGTTATCTCAAAATATCCTCTACCTATCTAATTATTATTTCTACTGCCATCTCATCAAATTATACTTCCATTAAGATGTATTTGTCTTTGTTATTTTATAAGTGAAAGGGAACTGTTTCTGCCCCTGGGAAGTATTGATTCTGAAAGAGAAGCCAGTGTTTTTGAGGGTTTCCCCCCTGCCAGTTTTTCTAGGCTTGGTTATTCAAGCCCTATATCCACTTTAGCAAATGTGTTCCATTAATCAAGGTGATTTATAACAAAAATCCATCCAAGTCTGGAGTACCCGGAAAAGATATCCAAACTGTTTGCAAGGTCTGCCCCTCTAGAGTGTTATGTTTTTCAGCTATCTCAGGAGCACACTGGTGCTGTATTTTATTAAATGGATTTCTTCCCCTCACCTATGGATCCTCTTAGAAAAATCATTATTATTTATAAGATGAAGACATTACTATTCAGATCTGGATTGAGCAGCATATAAGATGATCGATATTAAATATGTTTTGAATTCCAGGCCAGAAATATTTATTCTCATATATAGGTGCTTCAGAAAGCAACACCAAAATTGTCATTTGGAACCTAGACTATAGAGCTTAGCATATGAAAGCAATGGCATTGTTTGGAGGTTGGCAAAAAAGAATATAAACAGATCATTGGTTAAGTGATGTGGAATCATTTTATTCATTCCAGAGTTCTAAAAGTCACTGGGGCAAGCAACACTTATGAAACAGATTTATCTTTTACATTAAGTATTTGGAAACTAAGCAGTCCCTGTTAAGGTGCTATTGTGTTAGGGTTTGCTTATTTTGATGGTACTGAGGCCATTATTTTCCTGGGATTATGAGCTGAGCATTGGCTACTGTAAGACTATGAGCTTAATTTGAGACTCTCCAAAAAGACAAATACATTGTAATCAGCTCAAACCTCCACAATACCTTGGCTTGCTGAATATACTATAGTAGCTCCTCAGATTACTGCTACAAGCCACAACACCCCCAAAATGATTTAGTTGGAAGTAGGAGTATTTAGTAAATAGGAAATAATATGGATTGGCCTTTTCCTATTGGTTTGTAGTACAGACAAAATGTGATATAAAACCCTATTTTAGCTTCCATTCCTCTAGGGAATATAGAACCAGGGCTCAGGAAGTATGGTTTGTTATAAACCAATGAAAAGAAAAAAGACACTACTTTGTAATCTTTGTTAGGATAATAGTGTGATAGCCCAAGATTGTGATATTAATTGGTAACGTAAGTATGGTGTAATTAGACATTTTGAAATACGGTAAATTCCTATTAGCAGACATGCTGTGAAATCTCTGATCCAAACAAACTTCCTTGACATTATATCTTCCTATACACAGCAGTCCCCAAACCTTTTTGGTACCAGGGACCAGTTTCATAGAAGGCAAATTTTCCACAGAGCAGGGAGATGGGGCGTGGTGGTTTGGGGATGATTCAGGTGCATTACATCTGCACCTCAGATCATCAGGCATTAAATTCTCATCATGACCACGGAACTTAGATCCCTTACATACATAGTTCACCATGGGGTTTAGGCTCCTACGAGAAGCTAATGTCCCTGCTTATCTGACAGGAGGTGGAACTCACACAGTGCTATGATGGGAAGCGGCTGCAAATACAGATGAAGCTTCCCCTGTGCCACTTTTCACCTCTTGCTGTGCAACCCAGTTCGTGCAGCCCAGGCTGAGGACTGGGCCAGGACGTAATCCTATAGGAAAGACTTGTATACTTGCTCCACTCCAAGATTCTGTCTTCCAATTAGGCTTTACTCCCTTCTGCTTCATTGAAATAGTTCTTGAAAAGTCCCCAGATCTTCTGTTTTCTCTCCCGTGGTCAACTCTCCATCCTCGTCCTGCTTGACTGGGTGTTAGTGTATGAAATAGCTGTTTTGAAACTTAGTTTCACTTAGTTTTGGGGATACCACACTCTTTAGGTTATCACTGTGGAGTACTGACTTGGTCTAGATTAATTCTTCTAAAGGAATGAGGGAAATGTGGTATGTTGGACCTAACTTGGTCTTATTTGGGGGAAGGTTTGGGTGCCCCAGAAATGGTATGGTGGTCTTTGACACGAGGAAGAGTAATTTGGCCTGGGAACACTCAGTGCCCACTAACTAGGTTATGTGCTAACAAGAGTTTTCCACACTTCAGTAGAAATGCATATGCTTTGGGGATATATTTAACTACTATATAGTAATTTTGTTCTTTTGGTCCTAGTTCACAGATTAATAATGAGTACAGTTGTTACCTATTGTTTATAAACATCTCGTTTAGGTGTGAACTTCTGAGTTTCAGTGGTTGTTCATTGTAAAATGAAGAATCATTTTTTTTAACTATTTCAAAAAATTAAAACATCATTTTTGGAATTTTAGTTTCTTAACCATAACTCCTACTCTGTAATTAAAATAGACATACTAGCTGGGTAAGGTGGCT